CTTAACTGAAGTCTTGTGATCGCTAAAAAGGATACTGGGTGAGGGTGGAGGTGAAATGGGTGGTGGGGTCTTGGAGAAGATTGAGGGGGCTTAGAGACAAGTGTCATGGGTAAACACAGGCAGGAGGTTTGAAGCATGACTGCAAGAGAGTTCTGTGACCAGACGGGAGTTGCTAATGATCGGGGCTAGGGGAGTGGGTTCGTGAGTGGTTGAGGAGGAAAACATTCATTCTGTATCTTGTGGTTCTCAAACTTGATTCATGGAGGGTTGGTTGAAGTGTGAACAGCCAATTAAGTAAATTGTAAATGGACAAAAGCTATATCCGAATCACTCTAAAAGTCATTCATTGGAGAATAATTTTGAAGAGGGAAAAGATTAAAAAAAAAAAAAATTCCTCAGAGAACTTCTTTATAAGAGCAATGGTTTTTCTAAACGAGTGATTTTTCTTGGGTGAAAGTGTTTTGAAATACTTTTTTTTTCCTGCTAAAACTTTTTACAGGTCTAAATTGATTAAACAATTGAATTATTGGAGTAATGGTTTGTTAGTTTAGGATTTACTCTTTTAACCATACGAATCTTTTCAGGAGTGGTATTTGCTAATGTAGCAAGAGATCATATTGGAATTGGGACACAAAAGAGACTTGGGCTTTTAATACTTGGATCGTTTTGCAATTTACTTGCATACTTGAACAAAGTGGTCAATGTATTAAGGAATTAGGTTACATAGTTATGGTTCTTTTCCATCACCGTTTAGCTGAATTCAAGACTAGTTATTACAACTACAATGTAGGGGCAATTTTAAGTCAAACGAAAACGTGTAGGCTCTGATAAGCTAGTAGGTTAACGGAGGTTATCTATAAGACAAATTAGATATGATGGGGGTAACTTTGGCCCATTTCCCAATTAAAAATGGAAGGACCTTTGACTGGAGTATATTATTTCTTGCCATTGAGTTACTAATACTAAAGGGTTGGCTGGACATTCAGCTGTTATCCATTCAATATAAGTAGATACCGATTATCAATCGTCAGATTTGATCTCTTGAGAAACTTAAGAAGATACATTGCTCTGGCCTAAAACTTGATTGGCACAATAGGGATGTTATATTCTAGTTGTGATTTCTTTTTTGCTATTCTTGGTGTGTCTTTCCACCTGAACTAAGGAAACATATATTTGCCCGTTGATGCATGTAGCATAGTTGCAACAATCTTCTTAACTACATGCATATTATTCTATCAAGATGTTTAAGTTGTGGGACTAGTTGAATGGTATCATCTAAATTTACCACGTGCACGGCTGAGCCTCTGAATATTACACTGATGATCTGATTGTTCTTAAGGTATCATCTCTGCCAATATATATATGTAAATATGATTAAAGAGGATAAAATGGTTAGCTTCTGCTTTCTACCATCAAACAGAGCTTTGACATCATTCTTAGCTGTTGGCAGTGCCAGAGATGTGAAGCTAAGGATCCATCACTAATGAAACTTAATGAGAGTTTCATGTCCATTGAAAAAGGGCAGCCCAGTGCAGTAAGCTCCCTCTATGCATTGGGTCTGGGGAAGGGACGGACACATGAGTTTATTGTACGCAGCCTTGCCCTGCATTTCTGCAAGAGGCTATTTCCACGGCTCGAACCAGGAGAGTTTCATGACTATGCTATCAATTGTATAGGAATCTATTTTTTTTTTTTGCCTCATAGAGTTAGAAGTTCTTTGTAGGAAATCCGCATATGTGATCTAGGATTATTTGTCCGCTTCACCGAGTCTGATGGTTGCATATGCCTTTTCGCTTACTGTCTCATTGGCTCAACATGATTTACTCGATTTTTATTTGATGATTTACAACTTTGACTATTCTCATTTGTCACATTCAGGTGAGAATGGGGAGGAAATCGCTGCAAGGTTGAAGCGTGACCTGCTCCCAACAATGATGAATGGCCTAATGTACTGGCCGTTTTGTGATTTCTTGACATATAAAGTAATCCCTGTCCATTTGCAGGTACTATATTGTACTCGTTTTTTCTAGTGACAGCTAGTGCATTATCTTTAATGAGATGATCCACAGTTTCTGGGGTCTGACTACCTGTCCTTATGGGTAGCATATATTACTCTGCGTTTTTCATCAATTTCACATTCATCTAAATTGCTCAATTCACAGCTTCAACTATTCTGAACCTGGTATTTTAAACATTTATGAGGTTTAATGTTTTTGGTAATGCTCTTTGGCAGCCATTGGCCAATAGTGCATTCGCATATGCATGGTCGATATATTTGACGTATGTGGCAAGTTTAAAGAAAGCTGTTGCTGTTTAGTTTGTAAGCCCTGCTCTGCTCTGGAAGCTCGAAGCGCGCAAGGATAGAATTTAAGAGAAAATGATTGCCGATAACCGCTGCATATTGAGGAGATCAACAATGATAGCAGAAGGAAAAAAACAGGGTCTAGAGTAGATTTTGATTCATTCTTACATTTATTTCCGTTATTTTAAATTAAATTTGCACTGTATTGATGAAGGAGAGTCGTTGAGAATATTCCACGTCTGTTACTTGTACAAAGTTGCATTTCATAGTGTTTGCATTACACAATGTATCATTTTACATAACTTTTTCAATTTTTTTAGAACTTCTTTTCATTATTAAACATTTGGAATTTGACGTGGAGTTGCAATCATGCATATTGCTTTTTATATTTGAAAACAATTTGACTTTAAGTTTTTCAATTTTACTCATTTTACTATTAATGAGAAGCTTTTATAGCTACACAAATATTATGATCCCACGGAGTTTTTACCTTTTAAACTTTTAAGATCAAAATTATTCTTTTTCTTAGATTAGGTACCAAATCAAATTACCTCAAATAAATTGACAAATTGGAGTAATGCTGTACAGAAGCGTTATGCTTCTACTGTTCAGGTTGGGGTGCATTTATGGACAGCAGTTTGTAGTACTGTTGATCTCTATTAAAGTATTCATTTTCCTGTGGTGTAGTAGCCATGCTAATTTCAAATGTCAGGAGAAGCCTGTGACCAAAATGACTAGCAATATACTATTTTATCATGAATTCAATTTAAGTTGTTCCTCACTTTGATCACTAATAATATGATAAACTCTACTCATGAGATACATTTTACCTTTCACCAGCACCGATAAAGTATGACACTTTACTTTATTGTAAACTACAACAAAAATATAAAAGTATCATCTCTAACGGTTAAATCTTTTACATGATGCCTTTTACATTTAATAGGTATTAGGGTAAATATAAATTTGGATTGAGTCATATTATTGTTGTGATATCCGTTTGTTGTCGATATCTATAACTTGACTTTTTTCTGTTAATTATGTGGGCACGCTATCACACCATACCTAAATCCCCGCAATTTGTAACCACTACTTCCGGCTTGAATCGTACGTGTATATCCAAAAAAATAAGTATAGGTGAAGTATATGCCATATATTTTAGAATTGACACTCTCAACTTCCAATTTAGAATTCGTGAAGTTTAAATTTTGAATCCGCTATGGATGTCAATACAAAGAAGTTAAACTAATTCTTTTTTATCTTTACATTCCACATGTTACAACTTATATAAGAAGCCAAAAGATCTCTATTTTTTGATTGCGATGATAGGAAAAAGGTGGTGGTGTCCTGTCCCAAAACCAATGTTCTAAGATGAAAGGCTGCAAAGGCTCGTTTTCCATCATGTTTAGCATTCAATTCGCTGCATTCCCCACTGTATTTTGCAACTCAAAAACAAAAACTAATCAAAGTACATTAATAACTCTCTCTTTCATTTACTGTCCCCTATACACATTGCATTGTTACTACAATGACACCCCACATTATCATCTCCATGACTCATCCTTACTATATTATTTCTTTATTATGTTTTAATAATAATTCTCTTTATTATATACTCCAACATGGGCTAGAATGAGTGCTTGTTCTTCTTCTTTTTCATCTACCAAAGGCGGGTTCTTTCAAATGGGTTGAATTATTCAAAAACTTCACTTTTCTTGAAAAGGGTGTGAAGGAAAAATCAAATATCAATCTTTATATATATTTTGTCAGTTTTGTGAATATTTGTACTTGCAGTATGAAGGCTTTTGGGTTCTTTATTCTGTTCTTGGTGATGGGGACAGCCTTTTTGTCCTTTATTTGCTTCAGCACTGGAGGTACCTCTTCATTTCCTAGTAAAATAAATTTATTTTGGCCTTGGACTATGCTATTTTTTCTGTGACATTTACTTTTTTAATATTTGAACTTAAGTTCTTATAATATGCTTTAGTTTGTTACTTAAGTTTGTTCAATTCCTTTTGTATTGTGTGATTGTAAAAGATGGAAACATGAAAGGGCTAGTTTTACTTAAAGAACACCTTAAAGAGAAATTATTGAGTATTTGAAAGAATGGTTCCTTATACAGCTGAACTTATATAGAGGTTTCATATAACCGACTCTTCTAGTTTGAGACCGAAGAATAGTTGATTGATTGACTTGTCGGAGATTTTTATTAATATAATGAAGGGTTTTTTCTCAAATGGGTGGATTTCAAAGTATTTCACTGGTAGTTTATATTTTGACTTCATTTTCCCTACCTTTGGGATATAAGAGAACTCTCCGTAAAAGACTATTTCACTCGCCAACAATTTATTCTACTTCTTTTCCTTAGTGGTTTTATATTCCTTATACTTCTAGTTCACTCTAAACTTTGACAAATGGACTGGACCACAAATGGTTCTCTCTTTGTCACAAGTTAGATTTCCACGAACAAAAGTGATTGGTACTTGTATGTTATTTGGTCCTCACATGACATTTGACGTCTCGGGATTTGCTAAATGATTAGGTTGGGAGATATAATGCTAGAAATGACTTCTATACTCTATATATTGATTCACTCATGACATTGGTATTTATTTAAGTTCTGTGTATATTGCATCTCCTGAGCAGCTGAGAATCTACCAGAAATAGTTTCTCTACTTTCTTACAGGTAGAGGTAATGTTCGCGTACAAACTATCCTCTCCAGACCATGCTTGTGAGATTACACTGATTTTTTTGTTGTTGTTGCTAACTTCTTGTTGTATATTGCATCTATTTTTTAGAGCCCGTTTGGATTGATTTGAAAAAAGTGGTTTTTTAGCAGGAATAACTTTACGGTATTGCTTTTGGCTTGTTTTAAGTAATTTTTAACTTATTTTAAGCACTTTTTAACTTTGACAAACATTGAAAAAAGCCAATCCAAACACACTCTTAGAATGTGTGCCTAAGTTTGATGTACGATGAGAAGGAAAAGAAGGTATATGAGTGGTTAATCTGAATAATGAATGCTGTAGAAACTTAAACTTTGTGATATATCTCTCTTTCAAAAAGTTTCAGTTCATTGAGGTCCAGATTTGTTATCAATGGAAGCAGTAAACTAACAGTTACAGTTAGAAGAGAAGCCCGCCTACTTAACTCTTTCTGTGTTCATGCTTGCGTGTGATGAGGCATCTTACTGTTATTCAGCTACTTAAGTTACTCATCGAAGTTGTTTCTTGAGGGTTCTCAAATGTTATCCGAGTATTATGGACGAAGTCAATGGCAGTCCCTTTTGCGCTCAGCTTCTTTTTTGTGGTAAATTCATTTCAGTTTGTTAATATGCACTAGTCTGCTGCTTTTAGAGGAATCATATGAGATATGTACCTATCTCTGTTTGCCAGATACTGAGGCTAAAACAACAGAATTAAGCCGGATAGCTATATCCGCACAAGGGTATTGACTTAGCCTTCTCATAAATGAACCACAGGAATGTCCTTCAAATGGCAAAATAATGACATGGAGATGACCATAAGAAGCAGAAAGCTGCAGGTACTTTCACTTTATCGACCATCTTTGGCTTGTTAATCGTTTCATCGCAACCTAGTATAAGGTAAATGAAACAGCTGCAGAAATGGTGTTTCCTCGTCACTAAAACGATTTAACTTATGATCCACTAACAATGTAATGAAAATTTTGCGCTGCTATAGAAGGTTACTTGCCATATTGTTTAGGTTACTAATTCCATTTTTATCGGTAGTCACATGTATAAAAGTTAAATTCTTACTAAAATTTCTTCACTATTTCCCTCTCTCAGGGCAATGGCTTCGGTCCAAGCACTACTGAGGGCGATTCGAGCAACTTAGATATGGAAGATTATCGCCCGATAGATCCAGTTCCTAGCACAAAAGCTTCTATAAGACCAGGACCTGTTGAGCATGGTACTCCTCTTATGCCTTACATTCCCAGGCCTTCACCTCCTCCTATTAGCGCCAATGGTGGGCTCCCATAAGCTCATCATTATTCCACTTCCACTAATCCGCTACAAGTTGGGCAATGTAGTTCCTCCCTTTTTTTCTAAAAGAAGTTGGAATGTAGAAACTTCAAAGAAGCGTCGTCTCTACTATTTTCTGTTTTCCTTGTAAAATTTTTGTTGAAAGCTTGTATATTACTATGGCATGTTATCTGTAATACGTATGCCTCTAGGCGATACTTGCACAAGTTATTAGATATTTCAGTTTTTGAATTACATAACTGGTGTAATTCTTAGCTAGATATTGCAAGAGCAGTAGTGAATGTTATGCCACTCCTTCCTCNGGGGGCTACACGAAGGAATTACATTGAGTTGATCACCCCATCCATGAGTTTTTGGCATTAGGTAAATCATTAGGTAATGATTTACGACACATCTCCTGCAGGAACAGAAATGAAAATAGGGCAGGATAACTCTGTTTGGATCCTAATTATTATGTAGGAGTAGCAGCCCAGTGGTTTAAAAGGAGCATTGAAATTGCTAAGTATGCTTTTGTTTCCGAGGGCTCGAATGTGATTCCAGTTTTCCAACAAGTCTAAAACGTATTCCAACTAGTAGATAAAAAAAGAAAAAGACATAAATTGGATGGAAAATTATTTTGGAAACGAATGATTAATTAATGATTTAGTTGTAAAGTAATTACCTTTTCAACAATAAATATCTTATTGGTAAGCTAGTTGTGAAGTATTAAACAGCATTTGAAATAGAAAATATCTTTAAGGGAATACTACTTGAAGTAGAAAACGTATTCAAGTAGAAACTTGTCCATCATCTCCTACTTGAATATGGACTATCGCTATAACTTTAGAGGGGATATTCTTTTTCATAGTTGAATTAGGAATCAAAAAAAATTTGGAAACTAGTCAAGCTATATAATCCCTTCCAGGAATGCCTAAACTATTATCAAGAAAATAAAAAAGAAAGAAAGGTAGGCTACAAAAGAGCAAATTAAAGGTTTTTTCTCGAGTAAAAACTTAGTGTTTAAACAGATGAATAATACTATTAATTCATCGACGCCAGTGGAGATCCGATTCTACAGCAAAACCATACATCGATGGGTTGGAACTGACATCAATGGAACACAAAAGGTCGTCCCCTACCAAGAAGAGGAAAAATTAGAAGAAGCTTTTAGTCTATGGCTAAGCTACGAAGAGTTAATGATGTGCATGAAGTCTCGGGAAAAATATAAAGAAATAATTGTGGCGGATGTCATTAACAACTGGCCTACGATTAGTTCTCTTGACTTTCAAGAAAACGTTGAATATCGTTTTATAGAATGCAACAAAGAGATAATTCGCGCATCAGCTAATCTCCTTTTGTACCGATATCATGTCTGTGACAGGACAAGGTTCCGACCGGCTAGTTTGTCATTGATTGACTCGCTGAAAAAGACGAGGATAAAGAGTGATACTCATGAGAATTGTTGTGATTTGTTTAGGAGATTTACCAGTGGGTACTCAAGTTGTTCGCATTATTTTCATCTTCGCTGCCTATGGACTTGGCTTGAGAGAAGGGGCAGCTGTCCTATGAGATGCCAGCTCAATAAATTTGTGTTGAGTTGTGAGTTTTGATGATTAACAAACATAATGCATATAAGAAAATATGTGACGTATGAATATTATTCTTGACTTTTCTGTTATCTGGGAGTCTTTTATAATTTTAAGAATATTTAGTTTTGCAATATTATCTCTTAGTTTTCCAAGAAGTCTTTATAGGTACTTGTGATGTATGTATCTTGTTAGTTGTGCAAGACTCTTGAATAGTATTTTAAGCATAAATAGAGATATATTTGGCTTGAGCATTCTCTAAGAAAAATATTCTCTTCCTAATCTTTCCTACAAATTGATATCAGAGTAGTTTTCGATCTTAATCTGGGGTTACGTGAAGAAAAATAATCATGACATCAAACACAAAAGAAGGTGTTGGCTCTTCAGTTGGTTTTACTCATTTTTCTTTATGGAAATCATTTTGAATACTAGAAGATTAGAATGGAACTTATCTAAAAACTGAATGCTTGTGGACAATTGTTGCAAATGGTTATGAACAGCTAGAAAACGATGATGACCTTAGGGGTGTTAATGGTTCGGTTCGGGCGGTTATTTTATAAAATTTATACCATATCAATTTTTCGGTTATTCTATTATGTATAATCAAAATTAGAATTTTCGAAACCGTCCCAATCATGTCGGTTTCTCTTCGGTATCGGTACAGTTCGGTTAATTTTCGGTATTTTTTTAATATCATATAAAATTCACCAGTAGAAGTAGAATTGCAAGAACATATGTTATTGCTCTTTTATAGGACTTAGCAAAACTTTCTAGACATTTTTACTATTTAAAGGGTGATGAATTAAAAAAAAGATGGCTAGAGTGTAGATCCATCAACTATTCTACAACAGCGTAAAAGAAATCAAACAAAGGCAAAGAAAATATTAATCACACGAGTTAAAAGATATACACCAAGCTGGGACTCAAGAATAAAGTCAATCGAAGATTAAATATTCAAAAAGATAAATCTAAATTATATGAAAGGAAACATATTCAATAACACTACTAGAAATCAGGTGATTTCTGTCCAAGAATTTCCGACCGAAATCGGTTGGAATTAAGAGTATTTGGTCGCAAAACACAACAAAAGTGACTGACAGCAAAAAAAAAAAAAACTTTCCGATCGATTTCGGTCGGAAAATTTGTCAAATATTTGGTCAAACTTGTATATAATGTAAAAAATAATTATTTATTAAAATATTTCCAAATTTTTGACCGAACTCGGTCGGGAACTAATCAAATATTTGGTCAACCTTGTATATAATGTAAAAAATAATTATTTATTAAAAAATNTCTCTCTCTCTCTCTATATATATATATATATATATATATATATGCTATACTATCTTATATATATGCTATACTATCTTATATATACTATACATTTTACTAAAAAACAGTTGTTTACCGATGCAGCAGTACCGACAGACTTTTTTTCTGTCGCTTATATTATAATAAGTGTATTAGTTGTAATTAGCTTATAGATTGACATTACACTAAGTATAAGTCCTTTAGTAGTATCCTTAAGTAATGTTAGGTTTGATTCGACCGTAAATTGATAATTTTATTACGTAGAAGTGTATTAGTGACAACTAGCTTATATAAATTGATAATTACAATAAGCATAAGTGGATTTGCCGATGATTTATTCTAAATTCGTAATCACACTACCTAAATGTATAGTATAGTATAATATATATTACTACTATTATAGAAGGGAATAAGGAGAGGAGCTTGGGGTAGTAAGGGTATTTTGGGAATAATATTTTTTGGCTTTCTGGACACGTGCTATCTCTGATTTTCCAGTCTGTGCCTCTATGCGAAACCCAAACCAGCACATAATTCCGAAGAAGGTCCCCGCTACTACTCTTTCTCCGGATTTTGATCTATTTTCCTCAAATCTCTTCCGATCTTCTCTCTTGCGGCACAGTTTCTGCGCTTCGTCGAAACAGTTATCAGGTTAGTTATGTTTTGCCCGGAATTTTGCTTCCTTTGGCCCAACTTTTGTGTACTTCCCTGAGACTGAGAATATGTGTTTGAGAAAAATTCTTCAATGCATCAGACTTTCTATTCGATTTATGCGAAGAATAATCTGATGATTTTGATTTTGGATAAACGGTGCGCCGAGCAGTCACTACAAGAAATTAGGTTTTTAGCGACGATCTTTAGTGGCGACGGTTCTTGTTGCCGCAAAAATACTAGTTTTAGTGGCGACTTGAATAGGTTGCCACTAAATATTATAAATTTAGCAGCGACTTTAATCATCGCCTCATAAAGTCAGGTTTTAGTGGTGACTTCACCAAGGTCGCCTCTAGTAGTTACTACATTTTTATTTTGAAATTTTGATGAAAAATAATTTGTAGCGACCTTAAAATTCTCGCCACAAAATTTTATTTGCAGCGACAAAGTCGCTACTAATTATATACTAACCTTTTTTATTTTTTTTAATTATATTGCTAAAACCTAAGAAATAGAAATATGCTGCTAGTGTTTTCTTTGTTTCCCTCGTTTTTCCAAATCCCTTCCCCTTTTCCCCAAAACCCTAGCCGATGCAAAAAATTTATTTTCCCAAATTCCTTCTTCTGCTCCCCCAAAACCCTCACTACTACTGTTAGATCTAATCATCTTTCAGCTCTCACCCCCCTCTTTCTGTCAAGTCGTGGTTGTTAAAGGACTCAGAGATGAAAGGTGTAACCGTATCATGAAATTTTGGAATAAGTCGGGGACTATTCTCTATGCCGTTGTATTTGGATGATCTTTATGAATGATGTGATTTCTTTCTCTATAAAGAAGAGAATTTGATGATCCTTCTTAGGATCTTGAGACTCCTATTACACAGATTTTACCTAAAAGGAATTCCATTGTCAGGCATTTGGAGCTAAATTCAAAGTAAGAGTGGATCTTTCATTGAATCGAATTATTATGATGTTTCAGCTTATGCATTTTTCATTTTTTCCCCTTAATTTTTGATTCAATTAAATGTGATTTTAGTTTATTTTCCTTTCTGATAATTACACATTATATTTATATTGTTCTCTTCTGAATTGTAGATACTTTAAAAGTTAGCTTCTTAATTTCTCTCCTTAGATCACTCTAATTTTGTTTTTGATTTTTTGTTTCTCTTTTTGTTTTTAATTGGTAACAAGTGTGGTCCTTTTTTTTTTGTGGCATTTGTTGAGTAGATAATTTCTTATGTGGTTACAAGGACATATATAACGGGTTGAAAAGTTTGGGTAATTGGCTTGAGTGTATGAGTTAGTATTAACTTGAGTAGAGAAAGAATAATCATTTGAGAGAAGGAGGAACTGTAATTTGACTTACTAGGATGATATGTGGGATACTACTAAAGAATATGCTGAATAGAAAAAGAACCTCCTTAGCACTCAAGATCCCAATTTTTTCATCAGTTAACTTTAGCGCGCCTTAAAAAATATATAATATAATTCATATATTAGAATCTGGTTGTAATTGACATTCTTGAACCATGTGAACCGGAGATAATTTTTTTTATTACTTTGTTCCTTATAGTGGACTGTGAAGTGTTAAAGATATGCTCTTGATATCTCTACCTTTAAAACAAAAATTGGATTATTTAAGTTGCTTCTCTTGTTAGTCTTAAAAGTGCTTGAGCTGATTGTATCTATATTTGTGTTCATATTTTAGTATTGATGCCTCTATATTCATGCATGTGTATCTATCAGCTCTAAGTGAATTGGATCGACAAATACTTTAGATAACCTATTGTAACAAGTGTGGTCCTTTTTTGTGGCTTTTGTTGCATATATAATTTCTTGTGTGGTTACGAGAACATATATTACGGGTTGAAAAGTTTGGGTAATTGGCTAATTGCAATAAAGTCTTGATTCTTGAACGTATGACTTAGTATTGACTTGAGTAGAGAAAGAATAAACATTTGAGAGAAAGAGGAACGGTAATTTGAAATAAAATTTTGATCCATTGTTTATGTATGTTCCGTCTCACTGATCCGGATCGCATCCATCTAGATTTCAGACGGCCGGATCGCAGCAGTGGTCTGGATCGGAGCAGGGGTCTAGATCTGTGCAGGGATGTGGATCGCGGACGTCTTCAGGGACCCCGTATCCCTCTCCACAGAGTTCGTCTCCTAGCATTTCTAGACTTTGTCTTCGAGATAGTAGCACTGAGCCAAATGCACCCTCTTCTGCACATGCTTCAGATTCATCGGAGGATGATGATCCGGATGATGTGCGTTATGATCATTACCATAGGATAATCATCAGTCCTGAAGGCAACGAGTAAGATTTATTTATTACTTCTTTTTTTTGCTGAATTATAATAGCTACTCTTATTTATTTAATGTAATTGCAGTGTTGCAGGTTTATTCCTAATAATCATGTTACAAAGATAATTACTGATATACTTGCCTCGTTGTATTTAACACCCTATCCGACTTGGAGTGACTTTACTGATAGTCTCGTGCAACAGATGTTCAACCAATTTAAGATTTTAATACAATTCTTATCTATTTAAGTGTTATATTAACAATATTTTCATCTAACGTTACTTACTTTATTTGCAGACTAAGTGTTCCTGGGAGGACCAGTATAACCGTGAAATTTGTAAAAATTTGGAGTACAAATGCCGTAGGAGACTCTGATTCCTTCAGCACCGCTCGAAGGGTTAAAAAGAGGCCTTCATGGGTTCTACCGCATATATGGGTGGATCTGGAGAAGTATTGGACCACCGACAAATTCAAGAAGCAGAGTGAACAGAGAAAGAAAGCCCGAGCATCTGAGAAGGGTGGCTCCTTGCACTGTCTGGGTTCAAGGAGCATGGGGGATACGAGGAGACATCTGGTAATTTCTTAAAATATTTCAGTCTATTTTTATGGAACTATATTTATATATCTCCCAAAACTTTGGAATATCACGGCAAGTTGACATTTCAAAAATACACACATAACATACAATATTTATACTAAATGAGGTTGTTTTTATTAACTACATAATTATATATTAACTGCATAATTATGTGACTACCATATTTATATTAAATAAGGTTGTTTTTGTTCTGCTTCCTTGCTTAGAGAAATATATATATTGCCAAACAAATATAGTACAATAACATATAATTTTTATCTTCTACCAGCAAAGAAACTTAGGTTATAATAATATTTGTTGTTTGGGCTGGCACTATATAACACACTCCTCATTTGAATTGTTGCTTAACACAAACTGGTAAGTGTTGGTTTCTTGACAGTACACTAAAAAGCATGAAATTTGTTTTAATTAGGTTTAAGATGTTGTTTTATCTATTATTAGATTTCTATTTAATGTATTTTTCATGTTTATAAGCGCTGATGTTCATGAAAAATCTCTCTATCAATTTGAGAACCCCTGGTTCCAAATTTGTTGAAGAATCATATTTTAATATGTTGTTTATTTTAAATGAGCAAATTCATATTGATAGGAATTTGTATTTAACAGCACAAAAATCTAAAATCTTGAAGAAAATTATGAAGACCACAATTTTAGAAGTGGAAAGAACATAGTACTGGTTAACATACAACACAAACTAATTAGAGAATATTGGAACTAGAACACAACCTTGGAGTTGTATGGCCAAACATTATATAGACTAACCAGCTCTAGGCTATCAAAAACCAAAGTTTTTTTCAGTGAAGCTCAAGTGGACTCCATATAATCCCAGCTTCATGTTGTATTTTTTATCCTATGTTTCTCTCAAGAATCTAGTTACTTAAAATTCCTATCTCTTAAATTGCACTCTGCTTTTACAACAAAATACGTGTATTGCTATAGTTTTCGTTAACATGTTTATTATATTTGTAGGAAAAAAAATTGGGGAGGAAGATGAGTCATGATGAGTTCTTCATGGAGACTCACATCCGGAAGAAGAAGGCACCGACAGATCCAACTAGATGAGTCGAGGACCGGGCAGAGACTACACATGTAAGTTTCATAACTACTATAAATGTTTCTAATATTATATAGTTAGTAATTTTCTATCTTCTAAATAAAGGGTCGCTACAAGATCAATTTGGAGGAGTACACTCAGAGCTTGCCACTAAATGAGCAAGGCGAGCGACCGCCCATTTCAGACGAAGAAGAGAAGAGGATATGGTTGAGTACTGTCGGTGGTCCTAAAAAAGGGATAGCATACGGCCTTTCAGATAAATCGTTTCGGCGCTACAGGGCTGTATTGCAAGGTATAGGGACTTTCGCCCAAGGCGAGGCGATTGATAGTTCGGCTATATCGTCCATGGAAGAGAAGATCGCAAAGCTGACAGCAGAGCTTGAAGAGACCAAGGCTAGAGAAAAGAAGAATTTTGATACCCTTCAAGGTCAGCTAGAAAGGAGGGACAAACAATTTGATCTCCTTCAAGGTCAGCTGGCAAATCTTCTTGCTTGTGGTGCTTTCCCCATTCCCCGGTCTCATCCTCCTTCCCCACCCGCCGACGATGAAGGTCCTAGGACATTACATGAAGATGGTGCTACATAAAAAATTCATTGAATGTTGTGTATTGTTAAACAAAGTTGTGAACTTGTCAATATTTTGTTGTTGGTTATTTGAATGATGATTATATTGTTATTGAACACTTTAGTAGTTGTTGTTGTGGTTATTAGTTGTTGTGGTTGTGGTTATTAGTTGTTGGTTAATTGTTGTTGTTGGTGGCTATTAGTTATTTTATTGAGTTTTCATGGTTGAATGGCAGCAATGTAAGCTGCCATTATAGGATGTATGTTGGTTTAAATTGGCAGAGAGTGTAGCTTAAAAAGAGCCTTTTTCTGCCCAGTTTTTACCTAGTTTTCTGATCGAATTCGGTCGGAATTTATTTTTTTTTTGCCCAGAAATTCGTAATTTTCGACCGAATTCGGTCGGAAATTATAAATTTATATTTATTTTTTAAATAAATTAACAATTTACAAATAATTATTTAATGAAATAATATTATTATTTTTTAAAAATTTCGACCGAATTCGGTCGGAAAACTAAAATTAAAAATAACTAAATAATAATATTTTCCGACTGATTTCGGTCGGAAAATAGAGTTTGACTGCCAGTCAGCGCATTGGATTTTATCGACCGATTTTGGTCGGAAATTTTCGACCAATATTTTCCGACCGATTTCGATCGGAAATTTGCGACCAATTGCGGCCGGTCTGCATTTGCGACCATTATTTTTCCGTCCAATTAAAAACGATCGAAATTTGGTCGGAAATTATCAATTTCCGACCGATTTCGGTCAGAAATTTCAGTCGGAAATCACCTGATTTTTGGTAGTGTACATTGTAGTTTGCTACTCATAATCGCTAGAATACTTTGTGTCTTGCTAATAAAAATACTTGAAATAACTTAGTTTAAGTAGAAGTAGAATAATAGGTTTTAGGAATTAGTATTTTGAGTTTAATTACTTGTTAGCTTGTAATAGTTTTCATAATTCCAAGGCTCAAAGAAAATTAATGCATTATTATTTTTAAACTTATTAAATAAATATAATTTCTACATGTAAAATTTATTCGGTACGGTTCGGTATTTTTTCGGTTTATTTTTATAAAATAAAAAACCTACCCTAATTATCTGTGCGATTATATATTTTTATAAAAACCTACGATTTCTTAAAAAGAAACCTAAAAATCGGTTTGGTGTGGTACAATTCGATCAGTTTAGTCGGTTTTCGAATATTCATTGACACCCCTAGATGACCTTACAATAGCAGAGATATAAAACCTTGAGGCTAAGTGTCGTCAAGATGCAAAAACCTTGAGAAAAATTCAAATGGGAGTCTTAAGAGCATTTTTTGTAAAAAATAGATAATTATTGCACAAGTCATGGATATTGTTAATAAAATGAGAAATTATGGTGATGAAATTTCTGAACAACAAGTTGTGATTTTTTTTTTAATTAGTATTACAGAAAAAATATGAGTACATTGTTGCTATCGGTGAAGAGACGAAAGATTTTTCTAAACTTTCCATCAAAGAGCTAGTTGGATCGTTTCGTGCACATGAGAAACAAAGAATTTTCCGTGGGAATCAACCTGAAGAGACAGCTTTCGAGTCCAGAACCAATTAGAACTTTTAAAAATTCTCAAAGAATCTAACAAAAGAAGAAGTATAATCGAAAAAAGAAGCATCATTGTGATTAGGGGTACAAGCCAAATCGGAAAACCGCACTAAATCGAAAAATCAAACCAAACCGATTAAAAAATCTAATTAGGTTTGGTTTAATATTGAGTAAAAAAATTCGAACCAAACCGACATATAAATATATAATTTTTACATATACTTTTAAGATTTTATATAAAATTTTCTTTAAAAAATGTCTAAAAATATTTGGGATTATCTTGCAGGATATAATATTTAATAGTATATGAAGTGATCCATATTTATTAACCTTAAATAATGGGTTGTATGATCACTTTCTCATCATGTGTTACTGAAATGCGTCAATCTCTTTATTCTTCCATATTCATATCATATGTTAAGATCTACTAAATTGTTATATCTTTTTCGAATGTGAAGTGATTATTATTATTAGGTATCATATTGAGTTTTATGTTTAATTACTAAATTCGGTTAACCTTGAAAGTGTACATCAATGCAACATTATTGTCAAACGACTATAAAATAACCATTACTATGTGTTACTAATAAAATTTTCTCATAAGTATATTTTAATAGATAATATGTTTGTCAATTTTTTATATTTTTACCAAACATATATTTACTTATAAAAAATTTAACAAAGTAAGATTGAAATAATATTTGAATAACAAAAAATCCGACAAAACCGAACCAATCCAAACCGATATAGTTGGTTTGGTTTGGTTTTGATAAAAACCGAACCAACTCGGTCCATATAAATCCCTAATTGTGATGACTTCACTAAGAAGGATACAGAAAAATGTGAGAAAAATACTAGTCTGTTATAAAATAAAAGCAATGCAGTAAAATATAAATAAGAAGAGATAGAAAGAAGGGAGACGTGTTTTCTCCTTGCACTTTGGTGTATCTTTCCATTGCAATTACATGACCTTTTATAGGCATAAAAAATAAAGATGATGGACATAAAGTAGGAGATTTAATATTTAAGTTATTCACAACATGGACATCCAATGTAACATCCAATGTACAAACTATTCATAACACTCCTCCTTGGATGTCCATGTAAGATAATGTGCCTCATTAAGAACTTACAAAAAGAAAATATTGGGATGTACAAGTTATTTATAATATGCATTGCTTGCTGCCTCATTAAAAACCGTACCAGGAAAACCCAGTGGGACAAAACCTTGGTTAAGGAAAAGAGTGCAGCGTGTAGTTACTCCCCCTGATGAAAAATCACTTAATGTCTCGAAGACGACGCATTCCAATCTTATATATCAACTTTTCAAATATTGAGGTTGGTAATGCCTTAGTGAACAGATCAGCAAAGTTATCACTTGAATGAACTTGTTGTACATCTATTTCACCATTCTTCTGAAGATCATGAGTGAAAAAGAATTTCGGTGAAATGTATTTTGTTCTATCTCCTTTGATATATCCTCCTTTCAATTGAGCTATGCATGCAGCATTGTCTTCATACAATATTGTTGGAATATTCTCTTTCAAAGAAAGACCACATGTTTGCTGAATGTGTTGAGTTATAGATCTTAACCAAACGCATTCTCGACTTGCTTCGTGAATGGCTATTATCTCTGCATGATTTGAAGAAGTAGCAACCATAGTTTGTTTTGTCGAACGCCATGATATGGTTGTACCTCCACTTGTAAATAAATAGCCTGTCTGAGATCGACCTTTGTGTGGATCAGACAAATATCCTGCATCTGCATAACCAATCAATGATGGCTTGGATTCATTTGAATAAAATAAACCCATATCAATGGTCTCTTGGAGGTATCTGAATATATGTTTAATACCATTCCAGTGTCTTTGTGTTGGCGAAGTACTAAATCTTGCCAATAAGCTTACTGAGAAAGCTATATCTGGTCGGGAATTATTGGCAAGATACATTAATGCCCCAATTGCACTAAGATATGGTACTTCGGCACCAAGAAGCTCTTCATCATTTTCATGAGGTCGGAATGGATCTTTCTTTATATCAAGTGATCTCACAACCATCGGGGTACTCAATGGATGTACTTTATCCATATATAATCGCTTTAAAATCTTTTCAGTGCATGTTGATTGATACACAAATATTCCATCTTTCATATACTCAATTTGTAGACCAAGACAAAATTTTGTCTTTCCAAGATCTTTCATTTCAAATTCTTTCTTCAAACAGTCTACTGTTTTTGGAAACTCCCCAGAAGTTCCAATGATATTTAAATCATCAACATACACGACGATTATAACAAATTTNACTTTCATAAAAATTTCGTTGTCTAATGATCCATATAAATAGGCTGTAACAACATCCATTAGATACATATCAAGTGTTTCTTGCACTGCCATATTTATGAGATACCTGAAGGTGATAGTATCCACTACAGGACAATATGTCTCCATATAATCAATTCCAGGCCTTTGGGAAAACCCTTGCGCCACAAGTCGCGCTTTATATCTAACGACTTCATTTTTATCATTTCGTTTTCGCACAAAAACCCATTTATACCCTACTGGCTTTATGCCTTCAGGTGTTCGAACTATGGGTCCGAAGACTTCACGTTTTCCAAGTGAAGTTAACTCTGCCTGGATAGCGTCTTT